TTACTTGCTGCTGGTTGAACAGGCATAAATGCCATATAATTGTTAACGGGCGTCGAAAATGTTTTGGTTACTCGTATGTCATTTGTCTCCTCTCCTGCAGATACAGCTCTTAAATCCGTCTCATTTCTCTTATTATTCACATATTTCATCTTCTTTACTTCCTCTTTCAGTTCTTCAAGCTCTAATCTAAGTCTTTGTACTTCTTTTTTCAGCTTCTTAGTTTCACTTTCCTCTTCTTGTCTCTTAGCATTCAAATCTTTTCTAAGTTCTGCTGCACGCTGAACTTTAACCGTTGAGTCCTCTATTTCTGAATCAACCGTTGCTGCTAAGCATAAATCGGAATTTGTGACGATTATGCGTCTTGCATTCAACTTCTTTCTGGCTTCATTTGCTTTTTCTTGACTCATGAAACTAATGATGTAGCTCTCATTAAGCTTAGTGACTGAAGTAATTCCAAACTCCTTCAATTCGGACTTAATAAACTTGATTAACTTGTACATACTAGAGAAACTTTCGTCTCTGACCTTTAATACACTTCCCCAAGCTGAATCGCTTCTTTTCAAGTCACAGATCATGAATCGCTCTTTGTTGATCTTGGCAGGGATAAATATTATCATCTCATCTTTCAGACGGATTCTAGGGAAAGGCTTGTCTGCACGTCTTTCAGCAAACTTTTCTAGTTGACTTGAAAAGCACTTTCCAAGTACTTCAACTCTTAAACTGAAACGGTCGTGATGCTTTTCATCAGTATAGATTTGAATGCTGCGAATAGCTTGATATGCTACCTCCTCATATAAGTCAATCTTGTCAATTAGCCTGTCGATGAATGAGAAGATGTCGAATTTCTTCGTTATGTATAAAAATTTTATCAGATCAAGTGCCATTGCTCTAGAAGGAAACGAAAAAGAAACTGATTATAAATTACTGAGAATGAGTCAAAAGTTGACTTATTTACTAAGCTTAATTCTAAGATATCTTAATTAATTTTTCTAAGTTTAACTAAGCTGCTACTCTCTAAAATTATAAATACTAATTATGAAAATTGATCTTTGCAACAGCCGTAGCTGGACGTGTTACGATCGACTGCCTTTCATTTACATATAGATCATGCAGGTTTTTTCTGGTTCTTATGCTTTTCTTGCCGTAAACATTTCTCTTGCCCAAAATGATCTCGACTTGTCTGACCTGATCTTTCGATCCAGCCTTAACTTTCAATATCCTTCCTAATCGCCATGACTCAGTCACTGAAGTATCAACTGTCACCACAATGTCTCCCTCTTTTAACGGCTCTACCTTCTCATTCCACTTTTCTCTTTCCATTAATGTAGGCAAATAAGCAGCAAGCCAATGCTTCCACAGAATAGCAGTAAACTGCTTTACATCTTCCCAATTTTTCGTGATATGCTGCATCTTATCATTAGAATATGGAATTTCCTGGAAATTAGATCTAAGCATAAGGAATGAATTTGGTGTGAGAAACTCATTATCTAAATCTTCCATTGGAGCTAATGTCAACGGACGATTATTAAGTAATCCAGCTACCTCCAATAATATTGCTCTTAACGCAAAATCATTTAATATCTCAGTCTTTGTCTTCAGCATTAAAAGCACCTTCTTCATAGCAGTTTTAACAAGCTTAATCAGACTCTCAACTGCTCCCTGCATGTGTGAGGCTCTTGCTGGACCAAAATCCCATTCTATAGGCTTTTTAATGGCTCCTTTAGACTCAAGTGCACGATTCCACCTTGCTATCTCTTCCTTCATAATTCGATTCGCTCCAACAAAGTTGGTGCCATTATCAGTAACGATTCGCTCAGGAGCACCTTTGGAGTTGATGGCATTTTGTAATGCGAGTAAAGTAGAGTTAGAATCAAGCTTTTCTATAAGCTCTAAGTGAATTCCTCGGGTTGTAAGGCATGAATATACAAAGATATATCGCTTGGCTCTCACGTTTCGTGTTACCTTAACCAAAACTGGACCAGCGATGTCCGCAATACAAAATTTAAATGCAGGCTCATAGTAACCTAATCTGACGGAAGGAATATCCCCCATTAAAGGAAATGCAGGTCTTGTATTATAACGTATGCAAAATGTACAACTCTCTTTGATTGTCTTTTTTATTGTGGTTCTAACGTGTTGAATTAAAAATCTACTCTTAAGCTGATTTTCTACGTTGTTGACAAGCATGTGCTTGTTATCTCTGTGAATCTTAACCCGTTCTTTACTAGCGTAACATATATGTTACGCCAACTTTTTCTTAAAATTCTCTGTAATAGTTGATTTTAAGTTGAATTTGATCAATGATTAACGTTTATAGCTAGATTAAGTACCTCCCTTTATATTTCATGTTGTTTAATTATGTAAATTGGAGAAGTTAATTAAACTTTTCTTTTACATGGAAAATTTTAACATTTTCTGACACATTTTTGATCAGAACTGGACAGATTTATAAAGTAAATCATCTATAATTATAGTTAAAAACTTATTAATAAAGGTAAAGCATAGTTAAATACATTAACTATGTGACGATGATAAATGTAACATATATGTAACGCTAGGAAAATATGATATAAATTGCCCGTTACATATGTGTAACGCTAGTTTTTTGCAAGTATTTTAGCGTTTCGGATTTTAAATATTATTTAATTAATTTAATTGAATTGACTTTGATTTAAGCCAAATCATTATGTGGGCAGCTAAATTATGATAAGAGTGAAGTATTTTGTAGCCAATGTAATAAAATTAGTGTTTCAAGGAAGATATTTTTACATTTGAAAAAATTTGATGAAAAAAATTAAGAGAAAATTTGAAAGTGATTTTTCTAAGATTTAGACTGATTGCGAGTGTTTCATAGTGCATTGATTAATAAAATAGAATGGTAATAACGAGTTGGTGAGGTCCGAACGCTGAAAAATGTCTCATTTTAAAGATATGACATAAAATAAAAGTGTGAATAGATTTGAGTTATTTTCGTTTTCTTATGCATTAGAGTATTTAAATTGGACTCTAATTAAGTTAAATAGTATATTATTAATTATAAAGTATTGCATTAATGATATATGTTAAGGAAAGAGGTAAAATAAAATTATAAAAAAAACTTTTTAAAAAAAACTACGTTTTTCGCGTAGACTAAAAAGTAGAAAATAACTTTTATTCTTGGTTGTAAAGAATTTGGTTTTAAATTTTCAGATTATATTTAATAAATTTTTATATCCTAGTCAATATTGTTCACAAAGTTTCGAATAAGTGCACTTTGATCTTATCGTATAACTCAACAACTTAAAAACGTGGGCGCATTATAAGAGGAGAAATAAGTTTATGTGAAATCAATACTTTATGATAAACTTAAATTAATGCGCCCACGTTTTTAAGTTGTTGAGTTATACGATAAGATCAAAGTGCACTTATTCGAAACTTTGTGAACAATATTGACTAGGATATAAAAATTTATTAAATATAATCTGAAAATTTAAAACCAAATTCTTTACAACCAAGAATAAAAGTTATTTTCTACTTTTTAGTCTACGCGAAAAACGTAGTTTTTTTTAAAAAGTTTTTTTTATAAATTATTTTATTTTCTATTTTTTAGTCTTATTCTAATGAAATAGAGAAATAAAGATTATAGGGGGTTTATAGGTTACAGGTGTGTTGAACTCCACTTCGTTGCACTTCGTTACGTTCAACTGTTTATAGATTACAGTAGGTTCATAGGTTACAGGTGTGTTGAACTCCACTCCGTTTCACTCCGTTACGTTCAACTGCTTATAGATTACAGTAGGTTTATAGGTTACAGGTGTGTTGAACTTCACTTTGTTGCACTTCGTTACGTTCAACTGTTTATAGATTACAGTAGGTTTATAGGTTACAGGTGTGTTGAACTTCACTTCGTTGCACTTCGTTACGTTCAACTGTTTATAGATTACAGTAGGTTTATAGGTTACAGGTGTGTTGAACTTCACTTTGTTGCACTTCGTTACGTTCAACTGTTTATAGATTACAGTAGGTTTATAGTTCACAGGTGTGTTGAACTTCACTTCGTTACGTTCAACTGTTTATAGATTACAGTAGGTTCATAGGTTACAGGTGTGTTGAACTCCACTTCGTTGCACTTCGTTACGTTCAACTGTTTATAGATTACAGTAGGTTCATAGGTTACAGGTGTGTTGAACTCCACTTCGTTGCACTTCGTTACGTTCAACTGTTTATAGATTACAGTAGGTTCATAGGTTACAGGTGTGCTGAACTTCACTTCGTTACGTTCAACTGTTTATAGATTACAGTAGGTTCATAGGTTACAGGTGTGTTGAACTCCACTTCGTTGCACTTCGTTACGTTCAACTGTTTATAGATTACAGTAGGTTTATAGGTTACAGGTGTGTTGAACTCCACTTCGTTACGTTTAACTGTTTATAGATTACAGTAGGTTCATAGGTTACAGGTGTGTTGAACTCCACTTCGTTGCACTTCGTTACGTTCAACTGTTTATAGATTACAGTAGGTTTATAGGTTACAGGTGTGTTGAACTCCACTTCGTTACGTTTAACTGTTTATAGATTACAGTAGGTTCATAGGTTACAGGTGTGTTGAACTCCACTTCGTTACGTTCAACTGTTTATAGATTACAGTAGGTTCATAGGTTACAGGTGTGTTGAACTCCACTTCGTTGCACTTCGTTACGTTCAACTGTTTATAGATTACAGTAGGTTTATAGGTTACAGGTGTGTTGAACTCCACTTCGTTACGTTTAACTGTTTATAGATTACAGTAGGTTCATAGGTTACAGGTGTGTTGAACTCCACTTCGTTACGTTCAACTGTTTATAGATTACAGTAGGTTCATAGGTTACAGGTGTGTTGAACTCCACTTCGTTGCACTTCGTTACGTTCAACTGTTTATAGATTACAGTAGGTTTATAGGTTACAGGTGTGTTGAACTTCACTTCGTTGCACTTCGTTACGTTCAACTGTTTATAAATTACAGTAGGTTTATATGACCGAGTCTTAGCTCTTATAACTCCCGCCTCGTCTATCCAAGGCAGCCATCTATGCAAATAATGTCTGACGGGTAAAAGCTCGTGTTTCTGCAGCACTTTTAACTCCTTAACAAATGACTCTTGCTGAGACTGTCTGATCAAGAACTCCTCAATCTCTTTACGCATAAAATTGGAAGACATGTATCTTTTAACCTCTTCCTCGATCTTTAATCTTAAACTCTTCACTTCAAACTGAAGGTCCTTATTATTAGGCTTTTCTTTCAGTAAATTCTCTCGTAACTTTAATTCATCTCTAAGTCTACGAACCTTAAGAGCCTCCTTTAGCTTATATATAAACTGACCCGCGTAAATTAATGATAAATGGCTATTGACTCTCTTCGGATCCAACCTATTTTCAACTTCCTGTTGCATAGTTAGATGCATCTGCTCCCAATTTGGCTCAAACATAGGCCATTGTTCTTGTGGCAAACCGAATAACTTTGGAAAGAACCATTCGTTCTCATATTCCAGTTTAGTCATAGACGTCTCTTTTGTACCTAGATCAGCTGGCATATATTCTGTTGGTATCCAGTTCCAATCCTTTTTGTCAGTAAGGAAATTAATATCATCAATTCTGTGCTTCATATACACGGTAGGATTCTTTGCACCTCTCTTGATCCATTCATACACGGCTGCATTATCTGTGAAATACATAATCTTTTGAAACTTAATCTCATGCACTTCCAGTACGAATTTAACCATCTTGCTTAATTCACATGAAGCATGTAATTCTAATTCTGGAATGGTATGATTATCTTTAAATGGAACAGTAAAAGTCTTAGAATATATAAGTCTAATGCTTAGCTGTTGGTCCTCATTACTAAGAAATCTAGCATACACCGTGCAACAAATCATTTGTTTTCCAGCATCTCCAAAAGCCCAAATTTCCGCCTTATCATAAGCTTCATAACAATAACATCGAGGTATTTTTATGCTGTTTAGAGACTCTAAGTATTTCAAATTAGTCTTCCATTCTTCTAAGTGAGCATCTGAGATCTTATCATCCCAATCAAGCTCCTCTGAATAAGTCTTTCTATACAATAACTTCAACTTAGACGTAACAAATTGGACTAATCCAACGGGATCATAAATTGACATTAATATTCGCACAAGCTCTCGTTTTGTAGGCACCACCTTTCCCTCTCTAACCTCAGCTCGCAATTTTGATAAATTCAACGCAAGTGAAACTGTATCCTGCTCAAAATCGATATTATATCCAAGCAGCTTTTCTTGCTTTTCAGCTGTAATTACCCTCTCTTCTAATAAACCTTCAGCCGCTAAACTCTTTCTTAAATCACTGGTCAGAGTCTTATCATTGCTGTTTATCTTTAATAAAGAAAAACCTCCAGATTTTAACATCTGTCTAATATCATGAAATGTCTCTTTTGCTACCTCTTTATCCCTGAATGACTTCACCACATCATCCACATATGTGGAGTTCAGCACCACCTTAGCAGCCAAGTCTTTTGACTCTAAGTTTTCATATGCAATAAGATTCTTGACATATTGTGATATAGCTGGAGAACATCTTGCGCCAAAAGGTAGAACCAACATCTTAAAAACTCTTATCTTTCCCTCTCCCTTAAACCGAAAAATAAATCTAAGCGAATCAGTGTCCTCTTCCTTTAACCTAACTTGATGAAACATCTCCTGAACATCTCCTTTTAATAGATAAGGATGCTCTGACATTTGAAAATTGATCTTTAGAATGTCATTGTACAAATTTGGTCCACCTAACAGCTCATCATTGAGACATCTATTATTCACCTTTGCTGCGAGATCCCAAATCATTCTTGTTCTCTTGCCTTCAGGACTGATAAAAAATATAGGGATATAGAAGGTCTTAGGCTTTATTAAGTTTATCTCGTCATAAGTGAGTTCACGAGCGTAATTCTTTTCTAAAAGGTTTTTAAGCTGTGCCTCACACTCTTCAAACTTTCCTTTAGCCAATGCATTCTTCTCTACCACTAGCCACCTTCTCAAACTCAATACAAAGGAATCATGAGTTGGCAATTCAATCTTACTTTCCTTCCATAAAAGCGCAGACTCAAACTGAGTAGTACCTTCTATTCGCTTAGTATTCTTAGCCATGATATCAACTGCCAACTTTTCATAGTGCTTCTCACGACTATTAGCATATGGCAAAAAGCTTTCTAAAGTAAGAGCTTCTTCCTCTAAAATCTTAAACTCCTCGCTCTCTTCATCGGTCATCTGACAAAAATGGCTGAAATTTATTTCAGGTGCTTCAACATAATTACTCTTATCTAATTCTGCATAGGTTATATCTAAGGGATATTGTGACTGCATGATGTAATCACCTAACTCACATCTAATTCCAATTGGCATATGATTCTGATGGTTCTTAGAGAGCACTAATTTATTTTTAAACATCCAAATATTATCTATGCCAATGATTCCCGAGACACTATCGTAATCAGTAAGCTCTAAATCATTTAAATAAGGATATTTTGACTTAATCTCTTTAGCCACCAGTTTTTGACTTCCTACCTTCAGGTTTTTCACAGTTCGAAAATAAATATGTCGACCAACAGTTTCATCGTGTGTCTTAAACGCTTTAATCTTAACCACTCTGGACTCTGTCTCTTCCCGCTTATGATCTCCTGTCCAATGTAACTTCAATGCATAACTAGGGCCATAAAGTCCCAATGAATTAGCTAAGCTCTCTTCAATTAAAGAAGCGGTACTTCCAGTGTCGACTAAAAATGCAGCATTAACCTTGCCTTCCAGTCTGAGTACAATTACACCAAGTAATACACGTGAGGTCCTAGCTGTTAAAAACTTCTCTCCCTCGTGATAATTTAATACTGTATCCCCATCATCTGTGGTAATGTAGTGCTGATTCTGTGAAGTACTTGCACCTTTATCATCCTGAGTCTCTTGTACATTATCAGACTCTATTCCCTGACCATTCATTAAATTTAGAAGTTGCTCTTCCTCCTCTTGTAAATCTACAATATCTACTTGTGAACTGTCTTCCATATTAAAGTGATTCTTAGTCTTAGCAACCTTAGCCTTTCTTTTTATACAGTATAAAGAATGATGATTCTCTGCACAGCCTTCAATAGAGCATCTTAGCTTGCTCTTGTATGGACAAGGATTGTGCATAGATTGCCCACAAATATTGCATCGGTCGCTTAGTCTTGCTAACTCTCTTACAGACTCTCCACTCATTTCCCACAGATTTCTACACTCATGTGTGGGGTGGTAATTGCTCTTATGAAACCAGCATATCTTCCCATCAAATCTTGGAGCTCTGTCTCGACTAGCTTCATCCTCCAACTTATGAACTCTTTGTCTCTCATTTCTAAGTCTGAAATCTAAGTCAAATCCAGGAAGCATACTATTTTGAATCTTAGTTTCAATATTCGGAAGCTCTAATTCTAATACCTCAACAAAGTGCCTCAAATCTATTGCAATGCCATTTGACTCTAATTGAGACTGTCTACTTATCCACTTATTATGTAAATAAATTGGTAACTTCTCTGCAAGACCATTAATGAATATCTTATTACATGTAAAAGAATATTCGTGATAAGCTTCTGCTAAATGATTAAAGTTTACAACTTTATCAATGAAGTCACTCAACTTCTTATAATTTTCTGGTCTCATCCTCGCAAATGACTGCAAAACATTTGCTTCCTTATTGATAAAGCTAACATTCTTTACAAGTCTTCCGTTAATCTTTTGGATAGCAATATCAAACGTTCTGATGTTGAATAAATTTGGACCTCCAATTTGCAGGACTTCAGGATCTTTAATTGCCTTCTGTATTCTTGTGACATTTTCGTGAGGCATAAACAGGTTCTTAGTATTTTCGTAAGTTTCATAAAAAGTTGACCAAGCTATATGGCTGTTATTGACTTCAGGTAACTCCTTGAGGGAAAATTTTTGCAACATCTCTACCACGGACTCATCTACAGCTTGCTGTGCATTCCAACCTGTAATGCGACCTAGACCTCCTGTTTGATTAAACATTTGAGAATAGTTTGAATGGGTAGCATTAAACTGATCCCTTCCACTCTGAAATCTGGACTGATATCCACGAGAATTATTGGTCTGTCTAGGATAATACTGCCTTCTTTCATTCTGTACTCTTAATCGTTGAGATGCACGAAATTGATTGGACTGTCTTGGATGGAACTGGCTATCCTCCTCTTGAAATCGTGCATGATTTGAAATTCTAGAATAATTGGACTGACGTGGTATAAATTGATTCCTTTCAAAACCATTTCCTGGACTTGAAGCATAAAATGAGTTCACCTGACGTCTTGGATTAGGTCTATTGTCCACATTTCGAGTAACATTTCTTAAGCTCAGGCCTCTATTCTCATCAAGCCTGTTGTTTCTCCTTGGGCCTACATTTCGTGGTATGATATTTACGTTGTTATTTGATATTAACGGAGTATTTGTTGGATCATCATCTCTCAATAGACTACCAGCCTCCGCATTGTTACCTTCTGCAGTATCTGCACTTCTAAAAGGAACTTGATCTGCATCCCTGCGAGAATTATTAGCATTATCTAAATCTACTAAGCTTGGCACTAAAGGCGGTTGCTCATTAACCATCGGAATCAGTAACTCTTCATTTCTCTGCTCATTGAAATCTGTATCAATCAGATTGATGTCTTGACTTTGATTTCTACCTCGACTTTCAGTATCATCTATCACTCTTGATGAAGATCTTGCTTGCTCATTCTCTCTATGAATTGCACTTGTCTCTCTTAAGTGATATCCACAGCACCAAACCAAATGCCCATCAACAACTCGTCCTTCATCAACATGCAAACAATTGTCATGGATTTTTGTTTGACATCCAAGACCGCAGCAGTTTATTAATTTATTTCTTTGACTTCCTACACGTCCACACCTTGTACAAATTACTGACATAACAATTTACTTTGCTTTATAACGTTCTAAGTCTTAGAATAAAATCTCTTAATAACTGTCCTTAATACTTAAATATTTTATATTTAACTTTAAAACGGCACTATTTTAAATATCTTCTATATCAATTATGATAATAATTTAGCACTTAATTATGTCTTTAACAATGTCTATTTTCACTTTCTACTGTCTTTGTAACACTCTGATAATGTATGTGTGTAACAGACTCGACTGGATCTTTGTATGTCTAAGGTTATGACACCAATAATGCCTGTGGCTAGTTATGGCTTTATGTTCACACAATCTATAGACTGGAAGTTGGATTTTAAGCCTAATTCAATCCAATTTACTGTTACAAATCCGTAGGGAGAGTTTTGAATGTTGGCAATTATAAAAAATTTCACTTTTGGAAACCTTATCTAAGAATATCTAAGATATCAATTGAATAGAATAAAAAGACTCACCAAGCTACTAAGCCTAAATTATTCTTTATTTCGTGTCTTCAACAATCGTTCCTTCTTAGCCTCTATGCCTTTAAATGCTCAACAGCATGGAACTTTTATGTTCAAAACCTAATTTTTATGTAAATTTTTTAATTATGTGTCTAATCTTTAGTATCTTACTCTTAGCTTACTCTTTCCTGACTTCTTAATTGATTCTTAGCACTATCCTTGGCCTTAATCTCGTAATTTTATAAAATTATTTCACTATTGCTTCTTGCTCTTGCTGATCCTTTATTTTAACACATGTTCTCTATCTTTCAAATTTAAATTTTAACTGTTATAAAATGTCCTCTTGACTTCAAATCTTAACTATTCATTATCAAATATCCCTCTTTATATGTAAAATTTTTATTGCAATTACAATTAATTAACTTTCTCATGATCTAGCAATGAAAATTTTTATCATGGTTCTTTGCTCAAAACAATTTTAGGATGTTTTATTTGTTTTTGTTTTAAGCACTAAAATATTTATAAAAAGTTTCAATCCATTTGGATAAACCCTCGAAGAAAAAAGTGACAAAATTGATTTTGACAAGGGTCGCCCCTAGTCCAAAATTGAAAATGTATTTCCTACTTGGTTCTTTGCTCAAAACAATTTTAGGATGTTTTATTTGTATTTGTTTTAAGCACTAGAATATTTATGCAAAGTTTCAATCCATTTGGAAAAACCCTCGAAGGAAAAAGTGACAAAATTGATTTTGACTAGGGTCGCCCCTAGTCCAAAATTGAAAATGTATTTCCTACTTGGTTCTGTGCTCAAAAAAATTTTAGGATGTTTTATTTGTATTTGTTTTAAGCACTAAAATATTTATAAAAAGTTTCAATCCATTTGGATAAACCCTCGAAGAAAAAAGTGACAAAATTGATTTTGACAAGGGTCGCCCCTAGTCCAAAATTGAAAATGTATTTCCTACTTGGTTCTTTGCTCAAAACAATTTTAGGATGTTTTATTTGTATTTTTTTTAAGCACTAGAATATTTATGCAAAGTTTCAATCCATTTGGAAAAACCCTCGAAGGAAAAAGTGACAAAATTGATTTTGACTAGGGTCGCCCCTAGTCCAAAATTGAAAATGTATTTCCTTCTTGGATCTTTGCTCAAAACAATTTTAAGATGTTTTATTTGTATTTGTTTTAAGCACTTGAATATTTATGCAAAGTTTCAATCCATTTGGAAAAACCCTCGAAGGAAAAAGTGACAAAATTGATTTTGACTAGGGTCGCCCCTAGTCAAAAATTGAAAATGTATTTCCTACTTGGTTCTGTGCTCAAAACAATTTTAGGATGTTTTATTTGTATTTGTTTTAAGCACTTGAATATTTATGTAAAGTTTCAATCCATTTGGAAAAACCCTCGAAGGAAAAAGTGACAAAATTGATTTTGACTAGGGTCGCCCCTAGTCAAAAATTGAAAATGTATTTCCTACTTGGTTCTGTGCTCAAAACAATTTTAGGATGTTTTATTTGTATTTGTTTTAAGCACTTGAATATTTATGCAAAGTTTCAATCCATTTGGAAAAACCCTCGAAGAAAAAAGTGACAAAATTGATTTTGACAAGGGTCGCCCCTAGTCCAAAATTGAAAATATATTTCCTTTTTGGTTCTTTGCTCAAAAAAATTTTTGGATGTTTTATTTGTATTTTTTTTAAGCACTAAAATATTTATGCAAAGTTTCAATCCATTTGGAAAAACCCTCGAAGGAAAAAGTGACAAAATTGATTTTGACTAGGGTCGCCCCTAGTCAAAAATTGAAAATGTATTTCCTACTTGGTTCTGTGCTCAAAACAATTTTAGGATGTTTTATTTGTATTTGTTTTAAGCACTTGAATATTTATGCAAAGTTTCAATCCATTTGGAAAAACCCTCGAAGAAAAAAGTGACAAAATTGATTTTGACAAGGGTCGCCCCTAGTCCAAAATTGAAAATATATTTCCTTTTTGGTTCTTTGCTCAAAAAAATTTTTGGATGTTTTATTTGTATTTTTTTTAAGCACTAAAATATTTATGCAAAGTTTCAATCCATTTGGAAAAACCCTCGAAGAAAAAAGTGACAAAATTGATTTTGACAAGGGTCGCCCCTAGACCAAAATTGAAAATGTATTTCCTTCTTGGTTCTTTGCTCAAAAAAATTTTTTTCATCCAAAGTTTAATTTAAAAAAAATCAAAGTGAACTTTTAATTTGAAAATTCGTAAGAAAGGAAAGTTTTTTGCTTTTTCTGAAGCAACGGCTGTTCCTACCATGCCCAAAAACAATACAGCTCTTCTATAGAGCAGCACGGATCAAATGTAAAAAACTAGAAGTTTCTACAATGTCTCGTAATTGAGATTTCTTGCTGATTAACTTGCTTGTTTGCTTGTTTGCTTGCTTACAGAAAGCATATTTTGCGATTTTCTCAGCAATGCCGCAACCAATTTGAAATCTGTTTTTTGCAAAAGGTGTTCCATATCCTCACAAAATTCAAAAAACTGATTTTTCAATCTGAACAAAACCAATAGATTCACACGTGAAAACGGTGTGAATATAATTAAACGCATTTACTTAATATTAGTTCAATTTAAATTTTAAGTGAAAATGGAGGACTTCCTGGTGAGTTGAAGTAGCTTAGTAGCGGAAAGGTTTAGTATTTCGGTACCTAATTATTGCAATATGGACATATCGATCATGGGATCGAGGCTCGGTATGGGAAATTTTTCGCTTGTTATTTTTCGAACCATATGTACTAAAATTGAAGCGCATAGTCATCCTTTGTACGCTACAGGCAGAAATATCATCAGAGGAGTGGTTTGGATTTAACAATAAACTGTAGATTTCGGTTTGAGTGCAAACCGTTAAAGCTTAGAAAATTTACTTAATTAAATACATATCCAGCATTTACATCAACAGCATACTGCATCAAATATTATAAAATTATGATTTAAAAAATCCTATAAATAATCTCAATACTTCAAAGCATAATGAATAGCACTCATAAATGGAATGAGATTGGATCAACGTCCCTAAAGCATGAAACTCAACCGATTGCACAATTCAATTTACATCCAATAAGCAAAACAACATATCAGCACAAATGCTATTCAAAAGCATGCAAGTTATAAGGACAAAAAGAATGGAAAGAGCGCATAATATGCCAGTTAAAGCATCTAAAATTAAAAATTACGACGTTTATTGAAATTTATGCTTGAAAATTTATTGAAGAGTACTCACAACATGCCATAAGGCAAATTCCTCGTTGAGCTTTATGACTTCATTCAATAGAGCATGCAAAATAAATAAATAATTGAAGCATCACATAATGTGTACACAGACAAGTGAACGAGAATAATATTTACATAGACGTGGTAGTTGTAAGACGAATGGTTTAACAGTAGACGGGAAAAAGTTATGTTTCATAATAGTCACGTAATGAATTAATAATTGATACCCATTTGAATAGCTAAAGGAAAATTAATTAACAAAACGCAAATTGTAGAATGAATGTTTATGAATATTTATGGTAAATCATTATTAAAACATAATAATTATGATTTATTGTGCATGCTATTCGTGTTAATTAGTAAATAATATCAGCATCGACTTTTCGCTTTAATTGAAGGATTTCCAAGTCGACAACAAATTTAGGTTAAATAATTAATTTGATTTAAAAATGCAAAAAAGTTTACCTTGCCACTTCTCAAGGAGCTGAATTGAATGTAGGAATAATTTTCTGGAATACTGCTCCTTTGGATGGAGTCGGAGAAAAGAAAATAAATCATACAGTAAATGTTTTCTGTTGTCTTAAAGGCAAAAAATATGTTTATATTTTAGATTTTTTACCTTTTTATTTTATACTTCGTTAGGAAGCAATGTGTACATATTTACCTTAATGTCTACCATATTGTCGACGTTTAGAAATTACTCTTCGGAGCAGTTACTTGAAGCTGTTACAATATCACATCAGAAATTTGTTTAAGATACACAAAGACTGAAGTAGTTTTTGAAGTGCTTGATGCATGCAAATTTTTAATGAAATATTGAGATGAAATTACGTTTTCAAATACAGCGTCTTGTAGTGATAGAAAAGTATGTTATTAATTGAGTTCTTTGATTCGGTCTGTTTGATTTTTAAGAATATTCTCTCTCATGCTACGGTGCACGTGATCTCATTGATTCGCAAAGAAAATGTTTTAAAATCGCTCGATTTTTAAGCAAATTTAAGTATTTTTATATTCACACCGTTTTCACGTGTGAATCTATTGGTTTTGTTCAGATTGAAAAATCAGTTTTTCGCATTTTGTGAGAAAACAAAGCAAAATTGGTTATAAAAGGGCAAGAAGAAAAGTTTGTGCCTGAAATTTTACATCATTTTCAAAAAACAGATTTCAAATTGGTTGTGACATTGCTGAGAAAATCGCAAAATACGCTTTCTGTAAGCAAACAAGCAAGCAAGCAAGTTAATCAGCAAGAAATCTCAATAACGAGACATCGTAGAGACTTCTAGTTTTTTACATTTGATCCGTGCTGCTC